GAGGGTAGGTGCGCAATGGGGCTATGCCTGATACAGGGTGCCATTCGTGGTGGCCTTTCTCCCTAAGGGAAAATACCCACGAGAAGTTTACGGCTAGCGTCCGTCATATCTAGCTCCAGCCATAGGGTTTCCACGTCTTCCCCATTATTCGCGATATCGTCCCTTATATGCACATTTAGATTATGTTTTACGTAAATGCAACCCCCCCCCTTCTCCCACCTCTGTCCCTCCTAAACAGGTTATACCCCTCTATATTAGTTGCCCAGTCATGCGTGGTGTCCAGCCAGGTTTCCGCTATACCCACTATATCGAAGTCCTCTTCGAGTATCATTGTTTCAAGCTCTTCTATTTTATTGGCCAGACTTCTAGCGTTGGTGTACATACATTTAATTCCTCTCTTTTTGTGGGACAAAAGTTTACTACCTTGTTGTTCCCCACTATTTTTATTGTTATTATTCTGCCTTGATTTCGGTCGTCCGTTGGTAGTTATACTTACATGTGGCAACGGATTTCCTATATTGACTGGAGTGAGCCCACTATTATTAACTCCCTTTTTACTACTTTCTGTGTTATTTTTACCTGATCTATTCCCAATAGGACAAGATAGGTTTATAATAAAAACCTGGCATTATTGGCATTCTTTGCTCTTTTCTGATGAAGGAAGAGGCCTCGTGGTGGATCCTGTGTTAGGCAGGTTTATTGTTCCTCAACAAGTTAATTTTCTTAAGCTTTTCTGCTCCCCCCTCTTTTTTACCAAAGGTTTTCCTTACGGGGTTCTTCCTCTATCCCTAGTCCTGGATCCTAAATATTACCTGACAAATCCCCATGCTGTATTCACACCTCTTCCTTCTTTCCCCTTATTTTTCCTTTGTTGTTGACCCTCCACCCTTTCCAATCCACTCTTTTTTTTTATTCTCTTCCTCGCCTTAACAGGTTTCTTCTCTCTATCTTTTTTTCTCTTTCCCGTTCTTGTTTCCATTGATGTGGTTCTTTCTCCCTCTCTTTCTATTTCCCCTTCTTAAGTATCATATATGTTTGAACTTTATCCACTGGCAGTGGCATTTCTTTCTTAAAGATGTAACTGATTTAGAATTCCCGGGTGACTACTTGGTTAAACATTAATATTTTCTTGGAGGGTGAACATGTTTATTATCATCATGTATCTCTGTGTATGTACAGTATATTGGACTTTACTGCAACTATTCAGGAATGTATTGTACCTTTCTTGTTGTGTTCTATTTCCTCTTCTTTATATATAGAATATATATAGAGTTTTTAAAAAAAAACAACAACTGCAAACAAAACTAGTTTCCAAACTTCACCCAGAGTTCATAACTTTTGAACAAATATATACCAAGCACCATGGCTTAGGAAGTATAGAGGACCAAAGACACTTAACCCCTGAGGGAGCCATACACCACAGGTATATGTCAAGTCTGGTATGTGTAAAAAGCTATTTTCATAAAGCACAATAATCTATGGTTTATCAGAAGGTAGCATGGGAGTGGATAAAAATATGGCTGCATTTAGGAAACTGGAATGGGAGAGTCAGGTGAAAGATCATTAAATGACAATTATGGTGTGAGTGAAATATGTTCTTCCCCATAATTAGCACTGATGTGTGACACTAAAGCTGTCACAAGTTGGCTCTATTGATCGGGAACTGAGCAATCACATAACGCTGATCACTCATTTTCCGACCTTCTCCCTGCAGAGAGCGGTGACCGTCAATGACCTCTCCCTGCAGGGATTCCCCCTTCCCCTCCGTTCCTCCAGCGCTGACTTAAGGGATGGAGGGAGAAGGGGGATGGCACAACTGGCACTGCCTCTAGAGAGGCAGACAGCTGTCAATCAGGTGGAAGGGTGGCTATCGACATCTTTCCCAGCCACAGCACAGCTTTGCGCTGTCAGCATATAGTGGGCAATAGCCCGCTATATTCTGAGTTTTGGTTCACAGGAAGACATAGTATATGTCCTCCTAAAGAGAACTATGGCCAACAAAGGTTGGCCCATGGTTCTCTTTTGAACGTTTTAGCCCTCCTGTCTCACACCCCTGGGCCTCTCTGATTGGGTGGGAGCTGGCTTAGTGACATCCCCTAGAAGGCCCACAAAAAGCTGCTACACAAGGCATCTGAAGATCTCCTTTATAATCAAGAAAAAAACAACTGCAAAGAGACTTGTTTTAGGAGAGCCAATCTCAGATCCATTTTATGCTTCATTGATCAGAATCTGCTAAAATCCACAGAACCCAGAACTTTGTTAAGTAATTTCATTCTTATTCCCTTTTTGTTTTGTTGTTATTTGTCACTTTTCTGTAACATCTTTTCGGTATTCTTTTCTGCACCTTTTCTTTTATTAAAAACAATCCTTTAAAATTGTTAAACTTATCTTTACACTCTAAGTAAGAACTTAAGGAATCCTAGTCTTTCTGTAGAGCACTACCATATTGTATAACCTGTTAGTAGGGATGTTCAGATACCAAGTACCGTATTTGGTACAAGTACAGATACTTTTCCAGCTCCAAGACTAGACTAGAGAAAAACTCAAAAGTTAAGAGGCAGCTGTCATTTTTAGGAAGCATGTGGGGCTCCTGGGATTTGTGCATCCCTAATTTAATGTATGATTTGTAATATATATATACAGGGCCTTCGCTACTACCAGCATCGGCTACTACCGGTGCTGGTAGTAGCTACCAGCTACTACCAGTACGTACCACATCCCAACGGGTACCCGTATTACAGCACCCCCACAACCACCCTAGGGCAGGCCACCGGGGAGTGTGCAACACCTTGGAATGCATTCAGCGCCAGTTCTGGTGGCCCTCCTTGGCATCGAACGCACATTTTTTTGTTCAATCCTGCACCATCTGTGCCCTCCATAAACGACCTACCTCTAGACCCTACCTCTTCCCCATAATTAGCACTGATGTGTGACACTAAAGCTGTCACAAGTTGGCTCTATTGATCGGGAACTGAGCAATCACATAACGCTGATCACTCATTTTCCGACCTTCTCCCTGCAGAGAGCGGTGACCGTCAATGACCTCTCCCTGCAGGGATACGATCCCTACCTGTGCCAACTCTTCCATGGAGGGACCTTGCCATCGTCGACTTACCTTCCTCGCAAGGCTGCACCAGCAGCATGCACAAAAATGGCGCATTTTATTCCGACCCCTGGCCTCCCAACTGCTCAGCACACCTCAAAACTCTTCCTTCAGCACGTATTCCGGTTACATGGACTCCCTACTTCCATTGTCTCTGACAAGGGTTCGCAGTTCACCTCCCGTTTCTGGACCCAGTTTTGCTACGGCCTCCGCATTACCCGTAGCTTGTCTTCTGCCTATCACCCCCAGACTAAAGGGCAGACGGAGAGGATGAACCAGACTCTCGAACAGTACTTCCGCTGCTATACCTCCCACCTGCAGGACGATTGGGCGGACCATCTTCCTCTGGCTGAATACGCCTATAACAACCAACAACACACCTCCACGGGGCTCTCCCCCTTCTGTGCCAACTATGGCTACCACCCATTGACTCTTCCGGACCTTCCCCAAGATATTCCGGTGCCTGACATTGCCCAGCTCCTTCGTCACCTCCACGAGCTATTACGTACCCTGTGCAGCAGCTCCGGATCTCGCAACAGCAACGAAAGGTACAGACAGACCGCAGGCGCATGGAGTTCCCCAAATATACAGCTGGGGACAATGTGTGGCTCTCCATGCAGCACCTCCGGCTGTCCTGTCCCTCCAAAAAGTTGGGTCCCCGCTATCTGGGTCCCTTCACGATAGCCGAGATGTTGAATGATGTCGCTGCATGGCTGCAGTTGCCTGCCTCCCTCGGCATCCACCCAGTGTTTCAGGTTTCTCTGTTGAAGCCTCATCGTGCCAACCCATTTGCATGCCGGGTTCCCGCTCCTCCTTCTCCCGGTGGTCAGCTTTAGTGATTTGCTTTTATGAATAAATTACCTTTTTTTATATTTGTTTCAGCTTTATGCTTTTTATAGCAACTCCCCAGAAAACTCCAGGAGGCTTCTGAACTACCAATGAAAACAATGAGTTACTGGTTGTGCATTGTGCCCCCTGCACACATCCCAGTACTTCAGTTACCTATTGAGAAGCCTGATCATGGCATTGCCTCATGGGATGTAGGAAGGGGTCACGTTAATGCTTCAATTTTCGGTGTCAGTAGATGTGTAGAAAGGTAGGTATCTATTGGGTTCTTATGGTACGTACAGTGATGAGACCTCGATTTTCTGAATAACAGGCTAGCATTAAAGTAGAATTAAAGTCTCCTTTTTTTGCATATATCTACTGCTAGCAAGCAGTAGATATATGAAAAAACATTTAAAAAAATAAAGAAGTTACCAAAAAGGTCAAACCGTACCCCTGTCTCCACCGCTCACTCCCGGCTGTAGATCTGAAGCTTCTTGAGCAGCTGTGCAGGAGGATTATAGCGGGTGCATGCGCAGAAGAGATTATCAGTGGGGAGAAGAGGAGAGACACAGTGGAGGTGTATGCACGCAGTCGTCAGCATGCACGTCAGACAGGCACCATGGGACACGAGGAGTCTGCACTGGATCAGAGACCGGCACCAACGCTGGAGGGATTTCTGAATACAAGTGGTAGGAAGAAGACAATCGGATCAAGAGGCATCATTTAAGGTAAGTCCTTAAAGCAACATTGGGGAGATTTGTGACTTTAATGTCACTGTAAGGTTTTTTCTTCTATTTTCCTAGTTCTGGTTTGACAATTCCACAATTATTATGCTATTAATAAAGGCATTTTTTTTTTAATTTCAGGAGCTTATATCTATAAGCAACTATTTCTCGCTCTTAATGTTGTATATTAAACTGTTTTGTTTTTTTATTCTAGGTCCAGCTTGTATCTGCATTGAGCCAGCTCAGGAGAGATTTAAATTAACAGCAAATCTGCAAGATTTCTAATTATAATACTGTGCAGCAAACATGTTAATATAATTTAGATATACTGGGCACTTTGCTTTCTCTAAATACAAAATGGCTTCTTTGCTTAAAAAAAGGAGGAAAAATAATAGTTTGACTTCCATTTGCATTCGGCTGTGTGACTCCTTTAAACGTACACCACAGAATTTCATCTGCTCCTTTATAAGGGCTGAAGAATCAGTGCGCGTCTTCTACAGGCTTAAGCAAGAGTCACTGAAGAACATATTATGTGATGCAGGAGTAGCAGTAGGCCTACAGTTTATTAGCACTACATGGTGCCCAGGAGAAAGAGAAAAAAGCACAATAGATGGTAATATTTTCATTGAGTATACAGCCTCTACAGAACTATGGGATGAAGACACTTTGACTAAATATAAGGATTTCGTAAAACTGAAACTGCAAAATGTGAACATTAAATACATTTTAGTTGATCAAGTGACGGAACAATCAATACTTTCCCAGCCAGTAATTACAGGTAACTAAATGTTATAATTTTCACTACAGAATTAGCTTGTGTAGATGTGACTAAGAAAATAGGCACTATTTCCCTCCCTGCATCTGTTACTTTAAGATAAATAGAGTATAAGAAGTTCTTACATTTAGATATGACAAAAATAACCATTGTAATACTTTTTAGCTGCAGCTGCATTTTTAAGAACGATTTTCTAATATAGAAAGATCACCAAAACCAAGTTAGACTCCTGTCTCATATTTTAAAGGAGAACTATGAGATGAGTGATTTCCACTCACCTCATAGTTCTAGCCGACCTGTGACAATGAGACTGTCACAGGTCGGCTCAGTAGATCGGGAGGTGAGCGAACACATACCAGGTTGGCTCACCTCTCAATCCTGTCACGGCTCTCTGCCGTGACAGGGGGAGGGCTGGATTCCCCTCTCCCCGCTCCGATCTGCCAGCGCTGACTGGCGGAACGGACGGGGGAGGGGGCGGGTACAGCTGGCTCTGCCTCTAGATAGGCAGAGCCAGCTGTCACTCACGCAGCTGGGCGGATCCCGTCATCTACGTCGGGATCCGCTCCGGCTGCGGCGTCTCAGTATACCGCGAGCTGTAGCTCGCGGTATACTGAGCTTAGGGTAACGGGAGGCCGCTAGTTTGTGTCCTCCCGTTACCCTAAGGAGAACTATGGGGAAAAACACTGACCCCATAGTTCTCCTTTAAGGTTTTCAGAACATTAGGAATAATCCCATCTTTTAATGTATCTGGTGAAATACTACAAACACTTTTATTACAACATTTACCAAAGTGGGGGTCCATTGTGATAGATTGCTGGGGGTAGCACAGACTGACCGTATTCCACGATGGCCTAGACAACAGCTTTCAACTGACCATTTATAGGGAGTATTACGACTGCTCCAACTTCGTTCTTTGCTAGTTTTTTTCCTTTTGATTATATATACGCCAACATAAAGTGTGGGAGCATCCTGAGAAATACAAAGCAGACAAAATATCATATAGCATTTGCCAAAGTCTTTACCCAGGCACAGAAAAACCTAGAACATTAATGCTCTATCTGGTATGAGCAGTCACTCAACATTTTCGGGAGCTTTTGCCAGGCATCCAGATAAGTGTCAAAATAAATGGCAATCGTGTTAATAAAAGGACTGGCATAGAGCAAATGCCTAGTCACCAATATTGCCTGTGGTCTCCCTGCAGCTGATCTTTCCTTAGTTACTAACCTACCATGCCTTGTTCTGCACTGTCTCTGTGTGGAGACGGTCATCTTGTTAGAGGCAGGGCTTTCCTTCTTTACATCAGAGCTGCCAGCAAGGAAAACAGTGACTAGCGCAGTTGTGACATCACCTAATCCCATCTACCTCTCCTGAATCTAGGAGTCAGACAGCAGTTCCTAAGATCTCATACTGATAGATATGACAAATATACAGCTATGAGGATGTAGGCACAGTAGTGCTTCAGTATTCTCATATGTACAAGAAAGTGTACTGCTGTTTTCAGGAGCAATTCAAGACAAAACATAGGGTCTATTCACAAAGCTGCGGTAGGCAGCCGAGTGAACAACCGCCCCCAAGTGAAGTGAGCCAAACACTGTTCGGCTATTCACTTCAGGCTTTTAAAGCTGATTTCAGCCATATATTGGCTGAAATCAGCTATACATCGGGTGGCTTCGGGCTGGCTGAAGATGCTCAGCATGTTCGGCTGACCCGAAGTGCAGAAGGAGTACGACTATCAGATGCTGTTCGGCCTATTCTCATAGATGCCGACCAGCAGTGAGTGAATAGCCGAATGCTGCTGATCGGCATTCGGCTCGGCTATTCTGCTCGGTACCTCTGTGATACCGAGCAGAATAGAAAAACATTCAAAAAAGTTTTTAAAAAATAGAAAACGATTGGGCGGAGCTAGCAGTGACAGCTAGCTCTGCCCAACTGTTTTCTATTGGCCGTGACCAGCTGTCATTAGAATGAGAGCTTGTCGGAGCCGGCGGGGGATGCCGACTCTGCTAAGTTCTCATCCTAATGACAGAACAGCGTCTGTTGGTTACCCAGTAACCAGCAGATGCTGTTCTGTCATTAAGATGAGAGCTTAGCAGAGTTGGCTTTCATATAACTGCCGACTCTCCTAAGCTCTCGCCGTAATGACAGATGGGCATCCCTGGTTACCAGGTAACCAGGGACCCCATCTGTCATTACACTGAGAACCCGGCGGGCCGCTGTGATTTTCTCAGTGTACTGAGGAGCCGCTGTGTAATGACAGAAGGCGTCCCTGGTTACCTGGTAATCAGGGATGCCTTCTGTCATTACACACAGAACCCAGCGGAGCCACTGTAATTTTACAGCGGCTCCACTGGGTTCTCAGTGTACTGAGGAGCCGCAGTGTAATGACAGAAGGCATTACACACAATACCCAGCGGAGCCGCTGTAAAATCACAGTGTCTCCGCTGGGTTCTGTGTTTAATGACAGAAGGCGTACCAGGTAACCAGGGACGCCTTCTGTCATTACACACAGAACCCAGCGGAGCTGCTGTGATTTTACAGCGGCTCCGCTGGGTTCTCAGTGTAAAGATAGAACAGCGTCCCTGGTTACCTGGTAACCAGGGATGCTGATCTCTCTGCAAGTGGCCGTAGCCAGCCGTGAGATGACGGCTGGCTCCGCCCTGCAGTCAGGAGCAGGCTGTCAGCCGGCCAATGGCCGCCGTTTGGCCAGCTTTGAATTTCCCCTGGGCTCAGTCGAGCCAAAGCATATGCCTTCGGCTCGACTGAGCCCTTCGGCCAACTTCGGGGGCTGTAGGCGCTATAGTGAATAGCCCGTACAGCAGCCCTGAACTGAAGGGGTCATGGGGCGGAAGTTAGCCGAAGGTATGGCTAGATCCTTCGGCGGCTTTGTGAATAGACCCCATAGATTTTTCAGGGCACTGCTTAGGCAAAAAAAAAACATTTATAAATGTTCCCTATAAAATAGCAAATGTTCATTTCTTGAGTCTACTTTAACATGTTGCCTTGCACTTTTGAAAGAATGGACATGAATGGCAAACTACAGGTCAACACATACAAATGCAGCATGCAGGATTTATTTCTAATGCACTGCAATGCAACACATTGGCAGGAATTGAGTAATAAAAACAATTTCTAATGTCTATGTATTTTGCTTGCACTTTAAATTGTATAAAAAATGCATCTGTTAAACATAAGCCCTACGAATTAGATGTTGTAAAGTTGCAGGTGTCTGCAGTGACTGAACTGTGCTATTTACAATTATCCTATAGCAGTGAATAAAGCCATTCTTTGGAATTGTATATTAGGAAAGTAACTATAATGGCTAACTGCACTGCCTAACTACATTTAGGGGGCTATTCACAAAAGGGTGAAGAGTTTGGAGAAGGCCGGAGAAGTGAACAATCTAGGACAAAATAGCTGATTTGGAAAAATTCTCCATTTCAGCTCACTTTCCAGTTCAGCTATGTTGTCCTAGATTGTTCACTTCTCCTGCCTTCTCCAAACTCTTCACCCTTTTGTGAATAACCCCACTTTTGTTGAGAAAATCAGTCCCATCTGGGTGATCTGTGTACAATGCAAGGATTTGTTGCAGTTTCCAACCTGTTTCTGTTCTGAAGAAATAACTGTTTGTTGCAGCATGTCCCTTCTAAACTGATCCCTGAATGGAGGGTCTGGTTTTATCATAATCATCTAGTGGACTTTCTGTGTTGTAATGAGGAAAGGTACAGTATCTGCATCCCTGTAGTAGTAATTAACCCTTAGTGAGCCTGCTGGAATGGTTTGTTTTAGGATTTGGGCTGGTGTAAACAAGCACTAACAAAAGTGCAAGAACAGTGTGCATCTAAACCACCTTACATTATATCACTCACATTCACTGCACCCTTTCTCCTCATAGTTAGGCCTATTATCCCTGATTGAAATTGTTCTGCTGCTGGCCAGTTTGATACTGCTGTATCCTCTGCTGTATCTTAAAATGTATCTATAACCAAGACCTTCAGTTTAGTCTTGGATAGAATGGGGGAGGACTAGAACCCCTGTCAGATTTTAGTGACAGCCTGAGACTCAGATTCCTTCACTCCCTTTCTGGTTAAAAGGTTGCCAACAGCATATTTGCCGCTTCTGCCCTCTCCCCGACGCCCTCGCCCATGCTACCGATAGTGGGTATTCCCCATTTCATACCAGGCCTACTGGGCCCCTTGCGTAATATGCTGAAGGCAGTGAATTGCACCAGAGCCTATCACTTCAGAGCAGCGGCGGGCTGGATGTCGGCTTCGCAGATCCAGAGTAGGATAGAGCCCGACCTCAGTCCTTGGCAGGCTCTACAGATAGGCCACTACCTGCGTTCTGTTGGGGACCAGAGCCCGTTGCACAGACCACTGACAGAATTTGAAAATCTATGCCTGAAAGCCAACCCGACCAGACATACCCTGTCCGTACTGGTCGGCTGTTTGCAAGCTCAGCCGACTGACCAACCGCCATACTTTATCAGACAATGGGCAACGGATCTGGACATGGAGCTTACCCCTCCACAGATCGAGCGAATATACTACTTTGCCACTAAGTCCTCTATAGCCAACAGGTATCAAGAAGCGGGATACAAGCTGCTGACTAGGTGGTACAGGGTCTCAACAGTCCTCCAACGCATGTACCGGACATCTTCACCCATGTGTTGGAGATGTGACAATACTGTAGGAACCCTTAAACATATTTTCTGGGACTGCCCCCTGATCCAACCATTCTGGCACGGGGTGGCTGACCTAATACGGAGGATAACGGGATTGGACCTGCCGTTTACTCCGTCGGCCTTTCTCCTTCACCTTGCACCGATTTCACGGAAAGCATACAAGCGCTCCTTGGCGATCCACCTGATTAATGCAGCGAGGGCCTGTGTCCCCGCCCAGTGGAAGAGCTCACAGCCCTCCTCAATTGCAATGTGGTTGCAGAGGGTGGAGGAGATTGAATCGATGGAAGACCTGACCTCATCCCTGAGGGACACACAGGACAAATTTGTACTTACGTGGGCGACATGGATCCAGTTTCGAACCACAGAGGAGTACTCCAGGGCACGTTTAGCCTGAATGCGCGGCCCGCCTGATGGGAGAGAATCGCTCCTCGCCCGTGGGGGACGCTCCTGGTTGAGGGGTTGTCGGGGCGGGGTTGGGGGAGAAGAGGTGCGCTGCTCTCTCTCTCTAGTCTATCTCAGTATTTTTCTCTTCTGTCCTTTTCTTTGGCTAATGTTTTCCTCTTAGTCTACTCTTAGCAGCAGTACTGCTGCACGTTCTCTGTTCGTTGAGTAGTCGGTGAATGGATGTTCTCACCGGCTGCTACACGGTTGTATCTGTTAAAAATATGAAAAACTTACGAGGTATTGCTGGGGCCCCACAATATAGGTTTGAGATTACCGTTGCACTATATCTACTTGATTGGTGTGTACTTTCTGTGAATGTAACTGTGGATGACTCTGCCTAACCTGTACTTGGCTGTATCTGTGGTGTGTGCCTTGCTTCCCTTTATAAATAAAGAATTTAAAAAAAAAAAGGTTGCCACCAGAACAGAAACTGAGGGGAATCTCTCTAGTGGAGCCTTTAGACAGCAGTAAAAACGAACAGGGATTCTAACCCATTCCTATTCTATCCATATAAAAAGAAGAAAGGTTTTGGGTACAGATACACTTTCTTGTAGTAAAGCCCCAGCCTAGTACAGTTTGACTGATTCTCCATCATTAAAATGTTCTGCTGCAGCACAATTTTACAACAGGACACTTTTACATCACTGAGAACAGGGAGAGCCTCAGCAAATTACTGGATATTTTTTTTTTTTTTGCTGGTCAATGGCCGGCTTGATGAAAAAGCACATGTTGCTTCTGGATTTACAAAAAAGTTCCTTTTTTTCAAGGTGAAATATATCAAATTGGGGTGCTGCTGCTGTATGTATTTCAAGCTAATTATAAAAGAATTAAATACATTTCAGAGCCAAATACAGTATGTGCTGCCAGCATACTCTGTCGCTGAAACTGTCTCGAAAAATTGTACCTTTGCATAATATCATGTAACATCACTTTGTTTTGCAGAAATGGACTATAAAATATATGAACTGGACTCCAAGTTTCAAAACTATTTATGTCAATACCAGAATTCAGCAGAACCAGATACAATTTCTGATGACTTAGAAAACATCAAAACTTTGCTTCAGGAATTGAAAGAAAGACGAATTCAGATTGCTGTATTGTCACATAATGGTTTGTATTGTATTTTATGATTTTAATAATAGGATAAATAGCACAAAAATGCTAGGGATTTGAAAATTTGTGTGTAGCTCTCTCTCTAGAGATTCTGTTGATCTGAAGAGTCACGCAATTAATGTGTACGAGGTAAGACAATTTAATTCCTGGAATGGACTGTAAAAAAAAAAATGTTTGCTTACCTTTACACTAGCAGCTGTTGTCACCTTCAAAGTAGCCCCTTTGTGAAGCAATGCACTTTTCTAGACGACTGTGCCACAGCCGAAAAAAATCCTGGAATTCATTGTCGCGGGCGAGCTGGATGTCCGGAATGTCATAAAATATGTGTCCTTCTAAGGCTTTTTAAAATTTTGGAAACTGCCAAAAGTCGCAGGGTGCTATGCCAGGGGTATAAGGTGGTTGGTCAGGTTTCAGAAAGGATTTCTGGGCCAGGAATTCACGAACACTTAACGCATCATGTGCAGGAGCATTGTTGTGGTGGAGAATCCACTTGTCAGGCCAGAGTTCTGGTCTTCATGGACATCTCACCACCCCCTCCTTAAACCACCTATGCCATTCAAAAACACTTGATTTCTTCATTAAATATTCACCATAAGCCTGTTGTAACAGAGCTAAATATTCACTCGCACTTTTGCCAATTTTCACGCAAAATGTTATGTTTATCTCCTGTCACTCATTTTCTGCCAACAGCACAACGTATACACGTTATTTCTTCTACTACTCCATAAGGAGTCAACTGGTCTGTGACCCAGGCTAGTGCAAATTAGAACAGGTCAGAACACACTCAAGTGGGAATGACTGTGTGACTCACCACCATAGTGCTATGCTGTGGACATTCAGAGAATTCAATTGTCACACCTCGTACTATTATGATAAACGTACTATTAGGATTGAATAATTACCAAGAAAAATATGCATGAAAATATTCAGAAGGGTCAAAAAAAAATTCTCCTGCTTTTAAAAGCAATTGGCTCATCAGATATGATAGATTACACGCTGACAAAGATAACACATTCAGTATCTAAGTAGAATGCTCCTAACATTTATGGCAAGGACCGTGTGTGACAGGACCACTGAACTTACATGGGTAAATGTTGCACAAAAAGTTTTTTAACAGAGTTTTTTTCAGATTTCAGTTATCCTTCTGACAAGAAACTTTTATAGAGACTGATGTTCTATATAATTTGTAATATGTATTTTAACAAATAAGCATTTAATGAGGGGGGCTATTCATAAATCTCAGTTTGCTAAGTGTGTTGGACTTTCATAAAAAGGTTCTGCCACCATCCACCTGCTTGCTTGCCTGCAACCTGTATAACTGAGTATATCAAATACAGATGGCCCTCGGTTTACAACGGTTCAATTTGCACTGATTCAAAATAGCACCCTTTTCTGGGAGTGTTGTAAATTGAAACCAAATATATAATGTATGTCAATGGGAAGTGAGAGAGTAAAACAAGGAATGGTTCTAAATAGAAACTGGTGTAAACTGAAACCCAGTAAATGTTAAGCCGGTGGAAAGTGAGGAAGTTAGGTTCCAAGCCTCTCTCAAAACTGACATAAGTGACACAATACTGGTACATTTTATTTAAAGCTCCCTGTGTGAGCTCATGAAGCAGCTTTAAATATAATGTACATGTATTTCATTATTTATGTCAATTTTGAGAAAGGCCTGGAAGATAACTCCCTCACTTCCCATTGACTTACTTTATATACTGGGTTTTGAATTTACACCAGTTTCTATTTACAAACTCTATTTACAAACCAGAGTAAGTGGGGGTGCGGCTGCTCACACAGAGCGGGTGGGTGGTGTGGGTAAGCGCACAGAGTTGGTTGGGGTGAGCAGGCGAGAGGATTGTGTTTGTCCTTAGGTTACGTGAAGCGGTACGCCAGAGTGAGTGGGCAGTGTGGATGCACAGCATCTCCTCCATTTGAACCCAGGCAGGAGATAACTCCGCCCTCCCCCACTCTACGCTGTAGCAGGCGAGAGGATTGTGTTTGTCCTTAGGTTACGTGAAGCGGTGCAGTTTTTGCCTTGCGGATACACTGAAATTAAGGACCCCTGAACCTGAGCCTCCCTCCTGCTCCTGACCTCGCCTACTTCTGGCCCGGGCCCCGTAGCGGCCATTTTTTTTCTCTTAATGTCAGATCCTGAGAGACTGACTGAGCGGCAGATTGGTAGGATAAATCAAAATTGGTAAAATAACACACTAATGTGAGCAATTAGGGACAACTAATAAGAAACAAATAGGCGGACCAAGAATTTGAGATGAGGAGAACTATGGGACAACCTTTTTTGCCCATAGTTCTCTTCAGGATCACGGGAGGACTTATACTTCATCCTCCTGTGACCCAAAACTCAGCATATAGTGGGCTATTGCCTGCTTTATGCTGAGAGCGCAGAGCCGCTCCACAGCTGGGGTGGATTCCAACAATACTGTCAAGATCCACCCTGCTGTCTACTTAAGTGCCTCTCTAGAGCCAGCTGTGCCTGCCCCCTCCCCCGTCCGTTCCTCCAGTCAGCGCTGTCAAAACAGAGAGGGGAGGGGGGAATCCCTGCCTGTCAGTCACTACTCTCTGCAGGGAGAGGATTGGGAAGTCAGCGATCGGCGGTATATGTTCACTGACTTCCAGATCAATAAAGCCGACCTGTGACAGCTTCTTTGTCACAGGGTGGTTTGAATTATTGGATGAGTGTTTTTCTTAATTCTTCTTTAATCAGTGCCATTATTACTATCAGTAGAGTATGGACTCTTTTAAAACAAGTACAAAATAAAAAAACAGAATACATACTGTATATATAGCAATATAAAAGTATATATATTGGAACCTGGCTGAATTAATAATAATGCAAGAAAAAAAAAATGGTTACAAAGTGCAATAAATATGATTTACCGTATTTTGTGGTCCATAAGACGCACCGGACCATAGGACGCAGGGAGGTCCGGCGCGCCTTATGGAGCACTCGACAGACTGTAGCTTCTGTCACAGCTTCTATGACAGAAGCTGTGACAGAAGCTGCAGTTAGTGACCACTGAGACAGGTGGCGCTGTGATTACAGCGCCACGGTCTCAGTGATCACACAGAGCAGGCGAAGAACGTCCGTTCTTCGTCTACTCTATGGTAATCTCGAACGTCGCCACTGCTCGGTTTTAATACGAGTGATCTCATTAGATCATTCGTATTAAACGAGCAGTGGCTCCTACTGCTGAACTCGATCGCCGCCGCCGCTGGCTCCTACTACTCGCCCGGCGCCCAAAACTGCATGTCTCGGGCGTCGGGATTCGCTCCATAAGACGCAGGCACATTTCCCCCCTCCTTTTGGGGGAAAAAAGTGCGTCTTATGGAGCGAAAAATACGGTAGCTGTCATACATAAAACAAGGTTATTTCATATATGATTTAACCTGGCTAGCTCACATTGTGCACTGAGTGTTCTATACCCAAACATCCTTGTGAGTGGGATATTTTATAACTTATACACAGTATATAATACTTTTCTTTTCACCTCCCTAATTGAAGCTGTCGGGAAAAGTTTCATCCTAAATCTGTTGCTAATGCTGACAGCTGAGAGTAACAAGAAGTCTGGAGAACAAACAACAATGAAAATGCCTGAGGTAAGAGGACGGGATAAAAGGTATTTGAAATATCTTACTGGTTTTAGCCAGGCTGACTTACAAATTATTGCCAAGAGCATTTCAAACTGTCCCTTAACTCTTTTGCTGCCAATGCATTTTTTTGCACACGTTATAATCCACATTTTAAGGCCTGAAAATTACTAAAAGCCCTCAAAACATTATATATATTCTAAAAGCTAAAAATAAAATGGTGGCAGTTGCAAATGTCTACGTCATGCGATATTAGCGCAACTCTTTATCAAACCCCAAATTTTAGTAAAAAATACACTTGTTAATTTTAGTGCCCAAAACACAATATAATATCCGTGAATAGTGGCCCTAGATTTATTGCTCTTACACTGGCGCACGTGGCGAAACCTAACGTGTAGCGCAATCATACGTAGGCGCACCTGACACGTGTTTACGTTAATATGCATTAATCCATGCACTTTGCCGCACTCAGTACCGGATATTCCAAAGAAAATGGGTGTTTGTAATGACTGCAGATGGCGCCACTCAAAATCCAGTAACAAATGCAAATGTTACCAGCACTCCAATGTGAAGATTTACGTTAGTGTAAATCCATTTTATTGATAGAGGTCAAAAGACGAGTGCTTTCAGGGCCCCGCGGGGTCCCCTTCATCAGGCTCAATAATGACCAATGTTATTATTGAGCCTAATGAAGGGGACCCTGCGCGGCAAGCCTCCGATGTGATACCACATTGGAGGTGACAGGTACTCTTTAAAGTGACATTAGGGGTCAATTAGACCCATAGTGTGACCTTCCCACTCCAAAGAAGCTATTGGAGTGCAGATTGTGTTCCAATAGCTCTCTGCCTGGTGTTCGGTTAGAATCCTGGACCTGTGATAAACCTGGCCCTCGTGTTATATCCGGGGACATGTGCTGAGCGTGCAGGCGCAGAGTCACAGTGAATATTACATCAGCTGCCTTAAACAGCTGATCGGGTCCAGTATTTTCACAAGCTATTTGCCTGTATTGCGCATCTGCAGTCCAGTATTGCGCATCGGGTCCAGTATTTTCACAAGCTATTTGCCTGTATTGCGCATCTGCAGGGAAGAAAGTGGGTCTTTCTTCTGCAGGGAAGAAAGTGGGTCAAAAAAATTCACAGGTGAGGCGCCTGTGGCCACATAACTAAACACATAATCATTTATTTATATTTCTTTATATTTCTTTTTTAAATACTGGACCCAATCAGCTGTTCTGCGCTTGTGCGTTCAGCCGACGCCACCTGGAACTGCTGAGGCCATGTCAATGGAAACGCAGTCCAGAACTTGGACTGGAAGGGATGCTGTCAGTGTCGCTTCTGGTCCCATTCAGCAGGGAGGAAATCGGGGAATGGATGTTCGCCGGTCTCCTTCCCCATTTCCTGCTGATACCAGTGATGCCGGTCTTGGACCCACAGAGTTGGCAGCGGAGCCCTGAAAGCAAGGCAGGGGCATTGGGTGAGGGG